AAGCTTGAGCTGTCCTCGAAGATCCTTGTGGAAGGTCCTCCCGCAGATCATCATGGCTCTTCAACAGAGCAGCCAAGACCTCAAGTGCAAAGGGTGACAGGCTGAGAGGCCTGTGCAGGAAGAAGGATTGCTGTGTTTTGCCTAAGCCGTACAAGAATGGCGGAAGCAAGAGGGGTCGAGCCAAATTTACGCAGAAACAGAAGAGAAGCGCAGCATTCCTTGTCGGCTGAGATCCGGAGTTGGTGCAAGCCATTCGGGCGAATCCGCAAGAGTTCATGCGACTTCTGCAGGCCAATGCATCGATTCAGGTAGTTGCCATGCACAAGAAAGCCATCCTTTGCTACGTCGCAGATTCCTGCCCCATGTGTTCGCAGCAAGAGGCCGCAGATCACCTCGTCGTCTGTTCCTCATAGCAGCGGCTATAGAAACAACAAGTAGGCGCGAACGATCATGGTTTCCGCTTGGCGTGTGGCTATTCTGGAACGATTTTGGGCCGTCGCGCGACGGTCAAAAATGGTTTCCGGTGCATTTTGGGCTTTTGCGTCTGTTCTTTATAGCAGCGGCTACAAAAGCAACAAGTAGGCACGAACGATCATGATTTCCGATCGGCGTGTGGCTATTCTGGAACGATTTTAAATGATTTCCGGTGCATTTTGGGCTTTTGGGTCTGTTCGTACTAGCAGCGGCTATGGAAACAACAAGTTGGCGCGAACGATCATGGTTTCCGATCGGAATGTGGCCTATTCTGGAACGATTTTGGGCCGTCGCCCGACCGTCAAAAATGGTATCCGGTGCATTTTGGGCTGTTGCGTCTGTTCGTCATAGCAGCGGCTATAAAAACAACAAGTAGGCGCGAACGATCACGGTTTCCTTTCGGCGTGTGGCTATTCTGGAACGATTTTGGGCCGTCGCACGACTGTCAAAAATGGCTTCCGGTGCATTTTGGGCTTTTGCGTCTGTTCTTCATAGCAGCGGCTATAGAAACAACAAGTAGGCGCGAACGATCATGGTTTCCGCTTGGCGTGTGGCTATTCTGGAACGATTTTGGGCCGTCGCCCGACTGTCAAAAATGGTTTCCGGTGCATTTTGGGCTTTTGCGTCTGTTCCTCATAGCAGCGGCTATAGAAACAACAAGTAGGCGCGAACGATCATGGTTTCCGCTTGGCGTGTGGCTATTCTGGAACGATTTCGCGCCGTCGCACGACCGTCAAAATAGTTTTCGGTGCATCTTGGGCTGTTGCGTCTGTTCGTACTAGCAGCGGCTACAGAAATAACAAGCACGCGCGAACGATCATGCTTTCCGCTTGGCTTGCAAACTATATGTGCAAGTTATCATTTACAAGCAGAGCCTTATATTCCATCATTCAGATCAGGAGTTGAAGCTGTGTTGCCATTCGTACTGGACTAGGTAGACAACTCGGCATCTCCCGAGAATCCAATACTCGAAGCACTATTTTTTTGGTGCCTTGGCTTGGCTTTCTGACCTGTTGCATCGTGGATTTGCGGCTGCAAGAGCATCGGCAGAGTCTATGCAGACCGTATGTTGGTTGGAACACTGTGGCAAGCAGTTTTGTCAATAGTGTGTCCTAAGATTCTGATATCACCTGTTTCAGTATGTTTCTTTGCAGTTGCATAGAGTGACCCTTCGATGGGAGAGTAGCATAATCTGGCCGGGGTATTTTACACTGACATCTCACGCAACTGTCAAACCACATAAATAAGATCGGCCTTAACAACATACGGAAAGGTTTGTTCAGAATCCAGTTCAAGAGAATTCCTACCACAAGTGAATCAAGAGCCCTATTGTGTTTATCACCGTAGCAACTTTGCAGGGGAATGCACCGCCCAAAGCTGGAGAAACCAGCAGTGACCATTGGAAAGGCCCCAGTTGGCCCAGTCGCAATAGTCCAACTTGACCAAGCTTCACTGGGTCTGACCCATGAGCTCCCTCATGTTTTGTACGCAGGGCGGAGCCGCCCCACCGGCGGGAGGTGATCAAGATCCGGTCGCGGCCATGCTTGCAGCAGCACAGGCCAGAGACTCGAGGTAGTAAGAGCTGGAGGAAGGGTAACTGAGTAGAACTTCAGAACTTCGGGGTTCTATGGGCTCCCGACTCAAAGCACCACAAAGGCTCGGGGTCGAGGCCAGTATCTCCAGTGATTTTGCTGTTGCCCTGTCGCTCATCTTGTTTTGCACGCCTTTCGAAAACACCTGCTACTTGCCTTTTCGCCGAGGGCAGTCTACGTCCTTTAGGCAGACCATTGCCTTTGTGGAGTGCGCCTGCAATATTCCGGCACCCGCAACTGTCGGGGGCGCACTTACGCGCTGTGCGCGGTGTAGGGGCGCTTCCCGCTACACCATGGCCCTGACGAGAGAAAGAAAAGACCTTGCATCCATGCCACTCCTCCAACTTCACCACGAAAAACACAACAGAATGAAAAGGCGTAGCACTGAACTCAATGGCATTTCTTTTGGCTTGCGTGAGACCAGGTTAAAGATCGATTCACGTGACTCCAACACTGGAGCTGTTCCCCAGCCCAGGGTGGCGCAGGGGGTGGGGCTCCGGGCGCCGGCCAGCAGGTGCCAGGGATCGGGTTGATTGGGGGACATGAGCGGGCGCAGGACAGTTTCAGGTGATTGGAGTTGAATGCTGGCGGAGGGATTGGCTTGCGTGCTAGAGTCCAGTAAGGCATGACTAGCAGAAAACCAATCAGGAAGCATCTCTGTGACAGTGCAAGTCTCACCAAACATAGCTCAACTGCTACATTTGCCCACCGGCCGTTGCTGCGCATTCTCACATTGTCAAGGTAGTGCGACTGACTCCGGAAGAGGGCGAAGCAGTTCGAAGGCCGAGATGTTGGGCCCCATGTGCACCGCTTCTATGGTCCGGACTGTGCGGTCCAGGATATGCGGCAGCGCAAGAATTCCTCAACTCCAACTCGTAGAAGCTCGTGTTACAATGTGCTGATGCAGGTTGACTGAGCTTGGCTTCGACAGAGGGATGGCAGTGCAGGCATACCTTGCCTGCGCCCTAGCTGGGGTGAAGCAGATTGTTCCTGCCTTCTGGCGGATTGGTAATGAGCTCACAGGCCATCGGAGGTCGCTGAGTGTCAGCCGAGTCCGTCTACAACGCTCCTGCTCAGGCATGCGACAAAAACGAGGACGCTCTCACAGATGCCGCCTGTTGAATTGCGAATGCGGGTTCTGTTTGCGCTGACGGGTGCTTGCCCGCTGGATGGTTCAGAGATCTCCATAAGGGTCCATGCTGTAACACTGCAGGAGCTCGCCGCCAACTTTTTGTTTGAGAACCAAATGATGGAAGACTGAGTGAAGCTACCAGATCTTCCGTGATGCAATTCGATACGGTCAAAGCCGCTGAGTTGGGTGAAGACCGAAGTGTTTGGCAATACCTGATGTCTGATGAGTGAGGCTGTGCAAAGTGTGACACATCCAGATCAAAGGGGTCATCGAAGGAAACAAAGCCTTGTCAGTAGATCCGGCCAGTGCCTCTTGGTCAATAGTCCTGGCACTGTCAGCTTTTCTGTTGGTTTTAGCAAGGTGTCCCTTCCCACACTCAAGAGTTGTTCGCAAAGGGGCAGAGGAGTGCAAGCTCCTGACTTCCGTGCCGAGTCTTCACACACGTACCTTGCCATGAATGGTAGAGATTATCGCACCCTCACACAAAAGTCGGAAGGTTCGACGATGTTCTACTCATGCACGGTTTTACCTAGTGCAGTTCAGCCGTAAGTATTCCGCGCACGGTGCCAAAACGCTTCTCCAGATCACAGATCTAGGAATTCTTGATACAGCCTTTGTGACTGTGAGCTAGCAAGCTGTAGGACTTGTTCCCACTTGGTTGAGAGTTTTTACGACAGCAGAAGTCAACTCGTCAACTAGTCCCTTCGAGTGGTAAAAGCCTTCGGAGCATCGGCCCGGAAACAGTTGCCTTTGGATGCGGGTGCCACTTCCGGAACCCGTGCAATGCGGTAGATAGGATGTCGCAGTTCCTTAGCGAGCCAATGTTTGGCTAAGACAAAAGCGTCCGAGAATCGGCTCACCATGGGAACTGCCGCTGCGAACGATCTGCGGCACAGGCACATCGCTCGCAGGGAAAGATAGAAAAGGCACGGTGCTGCATCAACACCCCAAAGTTCTGTCTACTCCTTGCGCACACATTCCTTATCTCTTATCTCTAGCTGGCTCTGGCTCTCTCTCTCTCTCTCTGTCTCTCTCTCTCTCACTCTCTCCTTCTCGGTTTTTTAGCAGAAAGACGGAAGCCGACCAAGCCGAGGCCCGAAGCTGGCCATGTCCTGGGCGTCTGCTGCGCGTTTGGAGTCGATCTCTGCGAGATTTGCCCTAGCTCAGGATGATCCGAAGTTGTTTGTGTTTTCCGCTTTAGAAAAATCGTGCACTCAGAACCAGGCTCGCTTAAACTGCAACTTGATGTGGCATAGGAATGCAGAGGCGGACAGGTTGGACGGCACTTTCAGCTGCAGAGGGCATGACGCTGAGCTTTCGTTGCTGAATCCGCAGCTCATGGGAGTGGATCAAATCTAGAGAAGTGATCGACTTCTCCAAGAACCCCACTCTGGCAGGGCGCTAAGGTCACACGGGGGACCTAGCCGGTTGGTCGAGTTGCGGTGAGCAAGGCGTCTTGTGTAATATGCTTGGCACACTGAGGCCTGGGCAACCCGCCGAAGAGGTGGTTTTAAGAAGTGAACAGGCCACGCATGGTTTTTGTACCTGCAAGAGACTTGAAGACAGCACAGCTGTTCGATCGGGCAAAGTTGACGATTGTCCTGCCAGGGTTGAGTCTGAGCAGTGACACCATGCATTGTGGGTGAGAGTCGAGACTCCCGATCTGTGCAAGGGCGCACAAGACATCTGTGCAGAGCTCAGCGGCGATGAACAAAAGTCCAGCAACACGGGTCGCATGCAAGATTGCGATTGCCCAGTGAGCTCACGCTTTCTGACCAATCTTAGGTGAACAGCGACCTCAGATGGAGTCTCGCCACAAAGCTACCAAGGGTGCTGAGGCAGAACTTGATGTCACTTCATGACCTCGGCCATGTGTTGGACGGGACTTGTTGGGCAATGGCCGACTCTGTGCTGAGCTGCAGGCCGCCGATGGCAACTCGGTTCGTGGGACGCATTGGCCTCGGAGTGCGTTTCGATGTTTGCCTTCTCCATTATCCGGATGTGCCTTCTTGCTGAATGTATCAGGCGCTACGAAGATCAGTTCTTCAAGACCAAGCTCTGCATGTTCTGGGAGAAGGCACTGTGAATACAGTCAGCGAGTTTCTACCGTCTCGAATGCTGCTCTCGGCCCCAGAGGTTGTAAGCGTGGTTTGGTGACATGTTTCAACCACCGTTCCAGAGCATCTAACAATCTTCGCAGTGCCCGCTTCGCCCATGTGAAGGGCGCGTGCACGCGTGGTTCGAACTGCAAGTACGCACATGGTGACAAGGCCTGTGCGGGAGGGAAGGGCAAGAAAAGGTGAGCTCCAAGGAACCGGTCAGGTCGCCCTGAGTGACTCTTGGAGCGTCGTAGGCTTGTGCCGCTAATGCCCCTTCTGCCGCCTTTCACGAGCTGCAATAAGACCAAGAGCATTGACCTCCGCATCCCAGCCAAGCTTCAAGTCTCAAGTGGGTTTCGGGAGGAGCTGAACGAAATGCCCAACCTCACCAAGACGCCCGGGTCCTAGAAGTCGAGAACGCGGGGATGTTGTCGCAGGAGCCAAGTGGCTCTACACTTGTCCCCTCCTCTTGAATTTTTCAAGACTGGATCCTGGATTGAGAAGTTCCTGGAAGCTTCCATGGCTTCAGGAACCAACTATTTTTGAAGAGTACTTGCAGCACTCCAAGGTCTGCAAGCCTTCTTAGTGTCGCGTCCCCTCCACGCATTGCTCGGCAATGGCAAACTCACACCACTCGCCTGTAGCGACTCCTAAGGTCTCTTTGCAAAGACCTGCTCACAACAGGCACCTGCACAAGGTGGGCAGCATAACGGGCGTACCAGGCATAACATCTGCTGCTTCGCACATAAACAGCTCAGTGAACAGAATTCCGGAAAGGACACTGTCGGCGTGACAGGCTTGAATGAACAGAGCCAATTGCTCACATCTTCTGTGCAGGAGTGATTGCCTCTTTGCGCACAGTGTGCAGGACGGGAGGTCAAAGCATGATGATACAAGGGATTAGCACTTGTTTCAGTTAGGGGAAACAAGCGCTTACAAGCTGCAGGAGCTCAGGGCTACCAACAAGTTCTACAAGACTTCCATGTGCAGCAGCGGACCTCAGAACGGCTTAAGGTGAAGCCCAAGACCACGGCTGGAAGCCGCGTAAGAAGTCCCCGAAGTCCTTTTGCTCAGGTTTTCATCGGGTTGGTCAGTGCAAGCTGGGTGCGGCCTGCCGGGCACTCATGTCATCCTGTGATGAGTTCCGAGCTGGAGCAGTCGCAGTGCTAGATCTTCGTGCACGGGAAAGCCAACCGTCACGAAGATGCAGACATGGCTTGGACTGGACAGTGCAGCTTTCCTTTGGCTTCATCAAGCGGCGGTCTGTCGTCGTTCTGAGTTAGTAAGTATCTTGAATGTCGCAAGATGCACCTGGTGCCATTCAAAGACGGAGTTGCGTGGTTTCCGGGAAAAGTCGACGCGATGACTCTGGTGCGTTGTTCATGATCGACAGTGGCTTGCGTCCCCACCTCCAGAGTGAAGTAGACACCTGCCTCCCTTCACAGAGGCACTTCGGAACAAGGCCTTTGAATTCCATTCCCCAGGCCGCCATGCGCACGACCCATCGGAGCTGACGGAGATCTCACGAGTGAAGGCCTTGACTCTCGATGACGCGGAGGTGGGACGGGGTGTCAAGCACATTCCTGATCGCCGTCTGCACGTGGAGTGGCTTCTGCTCCAGAATCGTCTCTTCCCTTCAAATGGAGTTTCGAAAGGTGGGCGGAATGGGCCCATCTGGACGAACAGCTGCACGTCGCGGGCCTCGCCGGGGTCCTGGACTAAACCTGCTACAACCCGTCTTCAGACACGCTAGCAACTTGAAATCTCCAGGGCACCAGAGCTACAAACATGTAAATCTCAACTCCCATGGCAAGCTCCGCCGCGTCAGTCCTGACAGCCACCACTTGTAGTAGCCGGCACTCACAGTCTGTGGGAATCGGATCACAGGAAGCAGCATCTTTGGCGATTGCCCTCTTCCGACTACTTGTGACTTCTCGGCGGTTTCCGCTTATGTTCGCTAAGCTTGCGGTTCAGGAAAGAGCCGTGCCGAGAAAAGCGCAAAGAAGATCCTGGTGAGCACTGCGGAAGAGGAGGAGGAACACACGTTGTGCAAGTGAGCATGGGCAAGTAGGCTTGCACACACGAGGTGCCGTGTGTTTAAGTGGTGGGTGGTGAACATCTGTTTCGAACGGAGCATTGCCATGGCAGGCATGCGAAGGCATGAGCTCTCGAGCTCGGTAAACTGCACCCGCAGCCCCAAACCGATCCGCAAACACCGTGATCGCTGAGCCATGGTAGGACGACGAATTCCCCGAGACTCCGCCAGAGCCTCATCGCCTGTGGGGGGATTTGTTTAGGGTCCATCAGCCGCCCAAAGAGTTGACAGTTGACAATACAAAACCTCATCCTTTCACCTGCTGCATCTCTTTCCGACCTGCTCCAGTGATATATGAGGCCCTTTCTATGTCTGGTGGTGACTTCCATTACATGCATATCGCCAATTCCTGCAGACTGACTTCTTGATTTGATTCTTGAGGACCTGGGAGAGGGTGCTGGCCCCAGAACCTGCAACTTCTGGCGCCGTTACACACCAAGAAGAGTAATATTCGCAGACCAGAAAACGTTCACTGAAACATGCTGAATGCGAAACAGATTCAAGTTTGCACTTGGTCCGTTTTCAGCCATGAAATAGGAGAACTCTGCCTGCAGCTAGTCGACAACATCAGAAGGCATGCAATGCTGCCGGTTTCGATGCTCCGCTGCACCCAAAACCCAAAGATAGATGTCGGAAGTCTGGCCAGTTGTCTGAGCTCAGATGACAACTTCGCCGCCCACCCTGGGGTGGCTTCCAACTGCTGCTTTCCAGCCCGTGTCGCCAGAGGGCTGGGCTCCCAGCATCTTCCAGTTCGGCTTCTCGTGTTTGAGATCGTAAGCAAGACGGACGGACGACGGAAGAGTTGTCGGTGAGGAACTTGGAGAAATCGGTCGGTCAATACAGCATGCCTTGTCTTTTCTGATTTCCGTTGTTCTCTGGCTGTAACTTTCTTAAAACGTTGTAGGTCTGTCACTGGAGACTTCTTCAAATGACCTTTCCATCTGTCGCTGTGCAATCAGATTTCCATGTGCTACCTTCCGTGGGCTCTGTCAATGCCAGTCGTTCAAGAGCGGCGTTTAGAACGCTTGCCTGTATATGTTCCCATGATCCGATTGCAGATGCAGCTTCCGTGCAGAGTATGTCTCAATCATCTGGCAGAGCGCTCACTTGTTTGCTCGGTTTGCAATCGTGCTCGGCGAATGCTCGGTTGTGGGCTGATCACTGCAGTGGCTTCGCATGCGCGACAGTCCACCCTGAGTCAAGATCGCTGCCGACATAAGTCGTGGCAAGCAGCCTGCAAGAACCGGCTTCGCATGGCGGGGATTGAACTCAACGTGTAGGAACAGGCTCGAAAGAATGCTAGGACATTAGAGTCACTAGGATAGGCAGGGAAGCCCAGGCTGGATGCAAGATGACATAGTTTGCGCACTTGTGCAGTAGGGCCCAGGTACTGGAAGATACACGACATGAACTCGTGAACAGCCTGCGGAGACTCATGTTTGCATGCTTTGTTCATGGCAGCTTTCGCCAGCTAGCTTAGGGAGCTGTCTAGACAGGCTAGAATTTACTGACTCTGCCTCAGGCTTCAATGCTCCTAGCGTCTCATCGAACTCCACGGCCACGGGCGGTGCTGCAACAGCGTCGCAGCACTCCGATGACCAGGTTGGGTGTGCAAGTGTCCGTCTGAAGTCACAGTATCCACAGGCCTGTCCGTCCTGTGACGCCAGGATGATGAGCTGGATGATGTTTGCGATATGTGGGCAACGGCCTCAGCATAAGAGCGGCTTGCGGCTTCGATCCTTTCGATCCACAGTCCGCTTACCGAGGCTCGCATGAAGACCGTGCCCGCACCTGTTGTTGCCGCAGGTACACCGATGGACAGGCCCTCAGTGAGTCTTACAATTCCAGATGTTAATGGAGCAACGGAACTCGAGTTGGCTCGGAGAATCTGCTAGGGGCATGACATAGTGAATCTAGAAAGGTCTTCGCTGATTCAAGGCAGGTTCTTGCTTCCGGAGATCGGTGGCGAGATGCCCTTCCCGATCATAAGATGAATTGAAGCCTGTGGAGGAGAAACAGCATCTCACTGCCAGTATTCAGCCGCTTCCTGCCCATCATCGGCTCGCAGAGTCAGTGGCCAGCCACATAGAAGAAGAACATAGTCAGAACATGAAGGCCAGACTGCACTCCAACCTGTGTTTAGACATGAAACAACACCGACTGATTTGATTGAGATGGGCCCAAAGTGGCTCAATTTTATAGTGCTGCCCTTTGCCACCGCTGAGGACCTGCATGCTTGCCGAAATCCGCTCTTTGAGCAGCACTGGTTCAGCGCTGATGTCCGCGGGAGATCTTTTCGCGAGTTTCCAGAGCTGTCGGATGAGCTGCGGCTCTGTCCAGCTTTCAACACCGAGAAGAACTGCTGCCAGGGTGGTTTGGAACACGAGCAAGCACTGTACTTTGCTTACTGGAGACAGATCTTCAAGAGCAAGATGACACGCGTGAAGCAGTCAAAACAGGCAGCTCTGGCAGTGCAGCGAGATCCCATTTTTAACAGCGAGGATGGTGGGCGGGACCGGCAGCAGTTTAGGTCAGCAATCCAGAAGTACGACGAGATTTTGGATCCCAGTGCCGGCCATGCTCGCTGCTTGTCGACGCTCCTTGTCTACGTTGCAGGGATGATCTGCTTCGGCTGCGATCCCGACTGGAAGCAGGAAGTTGACAGGGGTTCCAACGGAAAGCTGCTGCGGGTACTTATTCCCGAAGGCGACTGCATCGAGCTTTGGACAGAATGTGCAGAGTTCGGCTCTCAGGCGCGGCAGCTCCGTGAAGCCGTCTTGGATTCGAGCTTGGCCATGCGGGCAACGTCGCCCTTCGAATATCTGCAAATGTTCGAGGACCAGCAGAAGCTCTGTGATTGGGCACACGATGTTATTGCCATGCATCCCTTTACACGGCCGGGCGAAGCAGAGAGGGAAGGCACCCCACCGGTCCGGGAAATTGGTGGCAGACGACTAGACAACAGCAGTCAGAGCTTCTCCGAATTTACAAAGGAGTATGACGTCATGAAGCAAGGTCGATCCTCCGGATTTGACACGTCGTGGGAAGGCATGCAGGCAAGAAGTGCTTGCAGTAGCTTTGACCTCTTTGCTTTTGCCCTTCTGGCCACGCTTACAACTTTAACAGACTGGTGAAAGCCGGCTTCCGACGCGCAAGCGCGATCTGGTGGACCCCAATAGGTGCAAAATGGTATGATGGTTCCCTGCACGAGGTTGGCTTTTGTAGAGTTTCACTGAATGCATCCTGAGGTGGCGATGAGCCGCGGAGCGATGATGATGGGCTTGCATCTTAGTGACGAAAGGATACGGAATCACCGACCTCCGAACGTAGGCTTTCGGAGGATCCGCATGCGGCCGCATAGATATGATGAATCCGGCTGCCTGGACCTGGCCAAGCTTGCCTAAGGTCAGTCTTTGATCCGCAATGAAATTCAGGCTCGGCACTCGTCTCCTTTGATAGGTTAGAGGGTCCTGCACTAATTTCCCCACGTGCGTCTACAATTTAGTGGCGATGCCAAGACTGCAGTTTGCACGAGCTCTCGTGTGAGGCTCCGATTTAGCTTTCGTTCAGACCTGGCTAGCAGATAGATGGACCGATGCAGGCAGTGCCAGTGACAGCTGCTGGACAACTTCAGATGCCCGCTGACATGCAGGAGACTCATATGCTGTATTCCTGCGAAGAGTATCCTAACATGCTTCAAGAGAACCCGTTGCATACAATGCAAGAGATTGGTCTGCGCTTGTTAAGGTGGTCGCGGCAGACAAGCGGTGGCGTTATCATTCAGCAGGCTCTCAGCCCAGATTCGAATCTCACTCAGTGTGGAGGTGGTGCTGAGGGTCTGCTGGATTGTTGGCAAGCCGGCACTTTTGCAACTTCGGCACATTCTGCATGTCAGTGAAGGGTTACAGGGCCAGGTTTAATTAGAGTTTAGGTTTAAGTGTTTAAGGTTTGTGCTTCTAAAGAGTTTATAAGGGCTAAGACTAAGAGTTTCTGATTCAAGGCTTTTAGTTATAGAGCGCTGATAGAAGGCTTCTGCGGATTTCTCGTGAGGGCCTGTAAGGCTGTTAGAGGGCTTATAAAGGGCTTATAAAAGGCTAACATGGGTGTCATTGGGCGTGTAAGGCCCGTTAAGGGCTTCTGACGGCTTATAAGAGCTTAGAAAGGGTTTTTAAGGGCTTCTAAGCGCTTTCAAGGGCTCTCAAGGAGCGATTAAGGGCTTTGTTTGATGGAGTCGAAGCGCTCTCTAGGCCGAAGGCGATGAAAGAAGCTTTCTTCGTTGTTTTTCCTTTGTTCTTGCTTCAGCAGAAGGATTTTTGGAAGTTTGCAGACGTCTTTCAAGCCTTCTAAGCCTAATTGGGGGTGGCTTTCTCCAGTTCTTTGTGGGAGAAGACGTTTTCTTGTTCTTTATCATTTTACGTTGTCCGCTTTAAAACTCCCCATGACCGAACTCGTGCGGTTTCTGTCTGTCGAGCGTTGGAAAGAGGAGCTTGGACGAAATTCACCTTTGACGTCCACACCAAAGCCGATGACGAGAAGTTTGTTCGCTGTTTTCGCTTGTTACTGTTCTTGTTTCAGATTTATGCCGAGACCTATCGGTGAAGACGTTTCAATTCGACTGTTTTTCACAAGGGGCTCCAAGGGCGCCTTGAGAAGAGACTTGAAGCCCCCTTCTAGAATTTTGGCGCCCTCCCTTCTCACGTCCCCCTTGAAGCCTCTTCTCAAGCATCCCTGAAGCCCCCTTTGAGAAGCTCCCCTTCTATTCACTTAAAGTCTCAACCCAAAATCCGGTTTCGTTTTCGTTGTCCGGCTGGTTTCCGTGACAACTCCCATTGGTTACAGTTACTAGCCCCAACCCAGTTCCTGTTGCATGTCCCGCTGGTTCCCGTTACGTCCTGGTCGGCTCCTGAACCGTGGTTCCCGTTACGTCGCTCGCTGGTTCCTCTTACAACCGTCACCCCAACTGGCAGGTTGTCAACACGTCTCTTCTCTTGTCCGGTGTCTTTACTTGCGACAGCAGGTTTCAGGTGCACGGTCGCACTTGAGGTCTTTGATTCAGAACCCTTGAGCAGGATGCCTAATGACAAAGCTTCGGGCTCACGAGGGGCGGAGGGAAGAAGTTGAAACTCCGAACCAGAGGCAACTTCTGGACCCTCGGATGGACCGAGGATCGGTAAGGCTTTGCAGGGGCTTGCCCACAAACTCGCGGACTGTGTTGGAACTTTGCTAACTTGAGCCGTGTGTCAGGAGGATCAGAGTTTGAGAGAGACCCGAGCCCTTGGCCGAGAAAGAAACGAAGAATGTTTCCCGGCTCCGGGACCCATGTTTTCGCTGAGGGCGTGGACAGAGAAGATCTTGAGCCCACTTTTTTTTGAACAATCGCCTCTGACACCATAGCTTTGACCCTTGTCGACCCTTGCCCCCAGCAGAAGGTCGGACGGGGGGTTAGATTGGCAGAACATTTTTTTTGCTTATTTACCCTTTGGTCGGCTAGAATCGCTGCTAGAAGCTGTTGGATGCTGCTGACTCTGCTGAACAGGTTGACCAGATGGCGGTCCCGTTCAACCGAGGACCCCAATAGCTGTGTGGAGCTTGTGCTAGAACGGTCGATCAGTCCGAGACACTGGCAATCACCGATTGCCAGGAGTTTCAGGTGACGTGCAGCAGATGGTCATGGTACAGGCTATGCCGCAGGCTATGCCATCTATGCCAGCCGTTCAGGCGATGCCAGCCGTACAGGCTGTGCCGACTGTCCAGGCTGTGCAAGGTGTGCAGGCCGTGCAAGGTATGCAGGCCGTGCAAGGCGTGCAGCCGATGCAAGGCATGCAGGCCGTCCAAGCTACTTGGCAAAGATTGGGACAGTGATGGCACAACTGACGGCAAGCCCTGATCTTTGAAACATCTGCCGGACAGCCATGGGTTCAACCTGCCATGCAAGCACGGTAGTCGACATCAGACGCATCCTGAATCTTGCCAAGGTTCCTTATCTCCTGGTGCCAGTTCCCATGCAGGCACAGCAGGTGCCGCAACAGATGCCTCAACAGCCTGAGAAAGGAGACCGGCATCACGTCCAAGCCCATGAATGCCACACCGTAGCAAGGCCTAAGGCCGCACCATGCCACACAACCTGCTTTACGAGTGCTGCAGATGCTGAAGCCGCTGCTATGCAGTCACTCGCCCTTGCCGCAGGAGGTTACATGGACATGAACAGCGGTGTTGCTGTTCCTTGTGGCATGGACCTCAAGGTGCAGACGATGTCATGGTGAACGTTTCATTCTTCCTTCCACCCCCTATCGCCCGACCTTTTTGGGGACGGTTGGTGTCCGGGGCAGGTTTGAGACTCCACGAGCTGTCCCAAGCTAGATTGCGTGTCCTGAACCGCACGACCTCCCTCAAGCTGAATTCCGAACATCCCCCAACTGGAACCTGCTTGTCAGATGGCACCGGAGCTGGAGGCCGCAAAAACCTCGGGAAGAGTGCTCGCATTTGCGCTGATGCATGTAAGCTGGGAAGCGACATCGTAGGCATCGTTCTTTGTGACAGTTTTTCGTAGGCCTCATAGGTATCCGCCCAAGTATAGCACTATCAGGAGGATTAGCGCGGGGTTACCTTGTGTCAGAAACTATGGACAATCTGGGCTGAGCTCGTATGGTTTGCGGCTGCCAGGTCGGGGTTGGGCTTGATTGAAAGATGAGTTTCGCGGTCGCAATCGAGAAGCTGGACGGCTCTTCATCCCGGGCTTCTAAGCCGAAAGCCTCCTTCCATGTTGAGGACATGAGCTACTGCCGGCTCGCCTCACTGCTCATTTTTGCCAGAAGATGAAATAGTCGATGGTAGACCGACGCTCTACGCGGCTTAGGTTCTGTCAAAAGAGTGGTAAATGCTGATTGCCTGTAAC